CTCACATTCATCCTACAAGAAAGGTACTATTATCATCCTCAGATTATAGATGTAATAGTAATAGACTACAGATGAGTACATGGATGCTTGGAAAGACTGAAGGGACATCCTAGGATTCAGGCATCTCCCCTAGGGAGGGACCTTCAGGCGAGGCCTGATCACCTTCAGAACTCTCTTCTGTTCAGGATAATGAAATTCCTGTGCTGCTTCTAGAAGTCAACTTTTCCTGAGAGGAAAAAAGGGCACAGGCTGAGGCATGTGGCCCTGAGAGCCAGGATGCAGGTGGGGCATGAAGAAGACTCCTCAGAAAAAGATAAGAAACAAAAAGAATATTTATTGAGCTTTTACCGTGGATCAAACACAATCACTATTTTATCCTCAGACACCTTTAAATGAAAAAATATGAATCCCATTTTATAGGTAAGGAACCTAAAGCTTAGAGAGGGTAAGTGATTTATCCAAGGTCACACAGATGTTAGCAAGAAGAGAAGCCAGAATCTGCCCAGGGTTACGTGATTTCCACATTCCCAGAAGAACTGGCCTGAGTCGCAGCCATGAGAGACCCTGAAGAGATGCACAGGACAGCTTTCCCTAGCCACCCTTGTCTGCGTACATTGGGAGGAATTTTTAAATCCATTTCTGTTATTCAGAGAACAATCATTCCATTCTCATAGCATGTTCAGAGCCATTTGCTTTTCGTCCTTTTCAGCCATTGCCCTGCTCCTGTGAGCCCCTCTGTCGGGGCAGAATACCACCCATCCAGTTGGGTAACTTTGGGGAAATGTTCTATAGGGGATATGGTTGAAACAACGGGCTAACATGATATTCTAAATTTTGTCTTTATGAATTATCTGGAATCCACATTAGTTCAGTTAATTGGCCCAGTGGTTGGTTCAGTAAAAGGTCACACACAAGACACAGGTCCTTTATCTGATGTAGACTACATCCTAGACATTCATAGGCCTAGGGACTGTGGACTTTTGGTTTATGGTTGTTCAAAAATTAATAATGGTCACTGGCAACTGAGTCACCAAACTTTGGTCTTCTAGAGAGAATTATGGACTCTGAGGATGCAATCCCCTCAAGAAGCTATCTGTACTCACTCAATCTGGCCCTGACCTTGGAGAGAACCCCCTCTCTAATGTGCTAGACAGATGCCCTGGGCTTTTGCTGGGAGCCCTGCAGAGATGTGGCACTTAACTTCAGTGGGTAGCCCTGGGGACTGGGACAGATAGGGATGTGTTAGAAAATCTTTGTACATGGAACTGAAATCAGACTCCCACAGTGGCTTCCACCTATCTCTGCTCTCTGGAACACACCTAACCCTCTTCCTCATGTTAATCTTTCACATATTTGAAAACACCTATGTCTCTCCTCTGCTTCTCCAGGACCAGCAGTTTAAATGGGTAACAACAAACTGTTTTATTCTACCTTTTTAAAAGCAAATAAAAAGACGTTACCAGTATAATGAAGGCCCTCGTGCACCCATTCCCAGTCCTACACCCCTGCTCTCCCCACCCCCTCTATATGCTTATACTACGTTTCTTTGGACTATGGGATCCCAAAGCAGAAGAAACCCTGGTGGACGCATTTATAGTGCAGTGATTAACAGAAGAAAGTGGCAATCACAGACTAGACTATAAATGTGACAGATATTTATAAACTCTTTACAAACTGTTTAACTCTGAGCAATTTATCTGATCTTTCTAGGCTCAATTTCCTCGTCTGCAAAACGGGAAGAATGATCATACTTATCGCGCCGGTTGTGGGGACTAAACAAGATAATGCTCCTGCAGTGCTGGCACTTGGCACTTAAAGTAGCCCATTCTGTCAACTCTCTACAACTCCACCTCACAGAAGAGGAAATGGGCCTAGCTGGGGGTGAAGCGGTTTGATCAAAGTCACAGCTGGTTAACAGCAGAGCGGGAACCTAATCCCAGAGCCCTGACCCCTTCTCATCACCCCTTCCTGCTTCCCACCGCTTTCGTTGGTGTCCGCACTGTCCACTTGCCTCTGCAGATCAAAACTTCACCCCTCGTCCCGCAGTGTCCGCTACACTGGGAAGCCCTGCCTGTGTCAATTCCCGACTATGATTGCAGTGAGCTCGGATCATGACTTTTTGACGTGCAGGAAAGGTGAGGGAGATTGACAATAGCTCTCCAGGAGGAAATAAAGGTTAAAGGTAGATCTAGGCCCAGCCCTGGCCGGGATGAACCCGCGTTCTGTCATTTACATTCCAATGCAGCCACCTCACCCGCCCCACCTAGCCGGCGGGCGGCTCTCGCAGCCTCGGGGACCGAGCTAGCGCCGCGGAGCAAGCGGGGGCGGGACAGTAGCGCAGGGCCAGGTGGCCGGGGGCGGGGCCGGGGCGCCGGGCGGG